CACTATCATTGTATGTAAATACACAATGTCACTATCATTGTATGCAAATACACAATGTCACTATCATTGTATGCAAATACACAATGTCACTATCATTGTATGCAAATACACAATGTCACTATCATTGTATGCAAATACACAATGTCACTATCATTGTATGCAAATACACAATGTCACTATCACTGTATGCAAATACACAATGTCACTATCACTGTATGTAAATACACAATATCACTATCATTGTAAAACCACAATGCCACCCTCATTGGGTAATACAAAGTACCACTATCATTGTATGTAAATACACAATGTCACTATCATTGTATGCAAATACACAATGTCACTATCATTGTATGCAAATACACAATGTCACTATCATTGTTTGTAAATACACAATGTCACTATCATTGTATGTAAATACACAATGTCACTATCATTGTATGCAAATACACAATGTCACTATCATTGTATGCAAATACACAATTGTAAATACACAATGTCACTATCATTGTATGTAAATACACAATGTCACTATCATTGTATGCAAATACACAATGTCACTATCATTGTATGCAAATACACAATGTCACTATCATTGTATGCAAATACACAACTATCATTGTATGCAAATACACAATGTCACTATCACTGTATGTCATTGTAAAACCAAATACACAATGTCACTATCATTGTATGCAAATACACAATGTCACTATCATTGTATGCAAATACACAATGTCACTATCATTGTATGCAAATACACAATGTCACTATCATTGTTTGTAAATACACGATGTCACTATCATTGTTTGTGAATACACAATGTCACTATCATTGTTGTAAATACACAATATCACTAATACACAAAGTACCACTATCATTGTATGTAAATACACAATGTCACTATCATTGTATGCAAATACACAATGTCACTATCATTGTATGTAAATACACAATGTCACTATCATTGTATGCAAATACACAATGTCACTATCATTGTATGCAAATACACAATGTCACTATCATTGTATGCAAATACACAATGTCACTATCATTGTATTTTACACTCATTACAACAGCATAATGGCACTGGAATTGTTTAATAGCATGAATACTCATTCCTTCTTTTTCTTCCCATATTTCTTCTTTAAACTTTCTCTCCAAGTATCCAGAGACTGTGTTTCTGTATTATGGCAATAAACATTCCCATAATACTGTGTGTGATCACTGGAATGTCTCTCTTTGTTGCACTTGTGACACAGTACAGATGCTGTTCTATGGTACTTCCTACGCTTGACACCAGCTTCCTCTTCCTGTTGCTTCCTCTTGTGGTATCTATGGGAGGAATACGAAGTTGGCACTGGGGGATTTGGTTGGGGAGATGTCGCTGATAGCAAGGAAGCATGTAGAAAAGGTGAAGAGTATTGCTGTGACGGCAGAGAAACTTGACCTTGAAGTTGTAAGAGTACCGGTGGTTGTTGCTGCACAACTGGAGAGAATGTTGGGGGAATTATTACAAAAGGTTGAAACGGACGCTGAACTGGAGACTGTTCAAGCGTCGATCCTAACATCTCTTGCTGTGAAGGATTCACAGGTACCGGTAATTTGGTCTTGACTCTTCTCTTAAGTTTGGCCGTACCTGCAGTGTTGGGCGGCATGATGAAATCATGGGCCTCTCCTTTGTTTTTGGTGGGGAGATTTGCTGGCTTCTGAAGTGGAGGTGGCAAACTTGTAGCAGCTGTCACAGGGGGCTTGGGTGGAGCTGCTCCTTGTTCAAGGATATGCCTGTCTTGTTTTTTCCCACGACGATTAAACCTGAAGAAAGTAAATAAATAAATAGAAGCCAGGTCTGATGAGCATCAATAACTCTGGTCAAAAAAACCCTATTAAGACAAATACTAATATACCTGCATAATTTACAATTTTTTTTTGGCCATCCAGTGTTTGGCATGTTTTAAAATTCTCTTCATTTTAAAGATAAAGATTCTTAAGGATTTCTTTTTAAAATCATGATAAATAAAGTGCCACGCCACAGCATGATACGCCTGTCAAAAAATTGCAATGATCTTAAACAATTAAAAGTGCAAGAAAATCATGTCAACCTTGATTTTAGATTTCCATGATTTTTCAACTCCTTAAAATATTTGTTTATCCATCTCCTGTGGTGTAGGTGTAACAGAGACAATTTTGTGCCTCTGCTGGGGATCAGACCCGGGACCTCTGGCATGCCAGTCCAGTGCTCTACTGATCGAGCTAAAGGGTTAACCCACTAGCCCAAGCTAGTAGGATGCCATGTATCTTACACTACTACATAGGCACTAATTATAAAATATATTGCATTATTCATAGATTACTATACTGGTTGTGTCAGACCTTGCCAAATGCCTATCATATTAATATATACAATATCAAATTAGTCTTAACAAATTAATCTATACCTAATTAATTTTGAAAATAAAAGGCTGGCCATCAAATATAAAATGGCCAACAGTTCTTCTGT